TGGTTGTTGGCATACACTTCTATGTACATTGATGAATGATGCCCCCGTGCCAGTCGCATGTATCAACATACATGCGGAGATACATCTGCTGGTCGTGATGCCATGCACTTGCACACAAGAAAGTGGTTCTATTTGGTTTCCAAGGATCTTCGTGCAAGCTGTTCTTTGTCACACCCCAGCTTGCCCAAGAGGCTCCCCACCCGTGCGCCATGCGCCCTAGTCCACTCGATCCTTGCAGACCCACATGAACCCCACTACACTACCAGAGTCCCGACTCTAGCCATATGAGCCCTAAACCTTAACCTAAAACCCCAAACCCTAAACCCTGAAACCCCAAACCCTAAACCCTTTTAGGATTCATTTCTTGTCCCACCCTTCGATCCAGGAGCCGTGGTGGAGGGCCAGGTGGTGGAGCCGAAGGGACTCCTGCCTGGGTCCGAGAAGGTGCCGCAAGAGGGCTTCGGGTTTAGGGTTCAGGGTTTAGGGTGAGGGATTTTGTCTACACTGGTTGTGTGTCGAAGAGGGCTGGATGAATCTCGCTGTGGTTGAGGGTTCGGATGCCTGTAATTCCTGGGCGACTACACTTCAGCACATCTGCATGCTTTCTGCTCCCCTGGTCATACGGCGAAGAGCTGGCGGACAGTTTGCTCTTGTTCTTATGCATCACATGGCTAGTCGTATGTGGCAGCAGTTTCAGCGCATTTTACTATTCGATATATTGACGGCCTTGCAGATCAGTTTCCTTAATTCACGTGTGCTTCTTCATGGTGATATGGGTGCATAGGACAGTTTGCGTGATGTTTTGCGTGATGTGACTTCTAAGAACTTGCATGTTTGCCGGCAGCCTCCAAAGTCCGTTGCTCAAAAGGGTTTAGGGTAGGGTAAATTTTTTCTGAAAGAATACGCATCATGATTATTATTCCCCACCCTGGGGTTGCTAGATTTTGAATTCAACTCTTCTCCTCGCCCGGTCTTCTACTCCTCGCCCGGTCTACTCCTGGCCTAACCCGAGTGTTGCTGGAGTGCCCAACCTCAGACGCCATGTTGGCCCAACCCAGAGTGTCCCTGGAGTGCCCAACCCCAAAGTGTCCCTGGCGTGCCCAACCCCAAAGTGTCCCTGGAATTCCTACCCGCAAAGTATCTCTAGCCAGACAGGGTGGGATGTTCTACGTAAAATAAAGATAATTATGGCATTGCTGTTGTTGTTGTTCTTGTTCTTGTTTCTACTGTTGCGATGATGAAGGTTATCATGTACGAGCATCACGATTGCTATCTGTGTAGGGTGCCTTCACTGACTAGACCGGCATTATTGCGAGAAAGCTCCCAGATGCCGACATGCATGCACAGGCAAGCCAGACACTCAACCTGAAAAGAGCCGAAAACCCTAAACATCAGAAGCCTGTTGACAAGCTGGGTGCTTGGCCCAAAGATTCTAGACCTGGTTGGCGGCTCGACCAGGAAATCATGCTCTGCCATGTCACTTCCTTGAACAGTCCCAAATCCCATCTGTACCCGAAACCCGACCCTAAACCCGACGACTTCCCTCGACCCTGTAAACCCCATGCTTCATCAATTCTGACATCCGGCTCCGGCGATCAGTTGGGAACAATTTCTGACGGCCCCTTCCAGAAAAGTCCCTCGAATACCCATCCCTCAGACACAATAACCCGAAACCCTAAATCCTAAACCCTAAACCCTAAAGAGCTCTCCGAGAGAGGAGCCCGCTGAAGTTCCGCCATGTTGCTGCGCCCGCCTGCTCAGCTGGGTCTTCGACCGCCCGTAGATTCGGGCTACGGGCGCAGAAGGGTTTAGGGTTCAGGGTTCAGGGTCGAGGCGGGCGAAGTCTCTTGGAAAAGGGTTCAGGGTTTAGGTTTTAGGGTTTGGTGCATATACCTTTAAGAGGAATTATAGGATATATGGCATATTCTAACCCCAATTGTTCGGGTTCGTCTCGTCCCCAAGCGAACCAGTGTGTTCATGTGGCCCCCAAAGCAACTGCGTAGTAGGAGAGAGGCAGAGAAGGCTTCCAGTTCCGACTGTGTGGGGCGCATTCAGACTAGGAAGCTCGATTGACCTCAGCCACAAGTATTCCCTAGTGGCACAGATCTTGGACCCTGACGCGTATGAGGCAGTTGGTCAAACGACATGTTCTCAAAATAGTCCTAAAGGTAGGACCCCTCCAAGTACGTGAGGGTTCCTCTTTTTAAGGGACTCCTAGCCGCTCCATCGCTTCTACCAACCTGAACAACCCCCCGGTCGACTGCCCAAAGCCCGGTATGCCGGGCTGCGAGCTGCGAATGCCTTAAAAGTGAGTCCTGTATTCTCTGCTGCTCTCCTCTATCCGCTTTTGCGGCACCCGCAAAAGATGACCCTAACCTTAAACCCTAGACCCTGAGCCCTGAAGAAGTCAGCCAAACGGGGCCCCAGTGAGTACCGATGGACAGAAGAAGCTGACATGAGAGGGCAGCCTTAGTAAAGCACAGAGAGCCGTAGTGGACAGTACGGGAAAGCTTCCAGTGTCGCGGGAGCTAGCCGTCATAGAGAGAGCCTGCAGACCTCCAGAGGGAGGTTTTGGTGAGGTAATTTATAACCTTTACACTTGGCATGGTCCGGTGGTGAGGGGTCAGCAGGTGTGTATACCGGGGAGAAATGAACCCTGGGTGTCACCTATGGAGAGACCTACCAACCCATGCCTTGCCGGCCTTGTGCGAGTGTGAGAGTCGAACCCTAGACCCTAAACTTTAAAAGCACAAAACAAAGCACAAGCAGGCCCCAGCAATCCCGAGAAACATCCCAAGGGACCTGAGCCCTGCTGCTGGGCGGGGGAGCTCAGAGCTTCGAGATTTTCGGGGGAGGAGCTGCTTCTTCAGGACCCTAAACCCTAAACCCTATAGACCCTAAACCCCAAACCTTAAACCCTACACCCTAAACCCTAGCTCTGCCAGTTACTTCGGGAGTTGCGGGGTTCTCGCAGGCGTAAGACAAAAGTTCCCCACGATCTTCCCTACAACGGGTGCCTATGGTAGATTTGCGCATGGACGAGGCTTGTCCAGCGGGGTTCTTTGGTGCTGCGCATGTCCTAGGTAGGATAAGGGAGACCCTGAAAAGGGGACCCTTCTGAACCCTCTTCTGGCTCTTTTAAACAGGGACCTTATTCAGAGGGTCTCTATCCCCAAGGTTCCCCCTCATCCTATCCCCTAGCATGCTGGCGGCTGACAAGAATGTGGGTTCGGCACCTGCCAGGGAAGTCCCAAAGCTGGAAACCTTTTGTGGCTTAAGCAGGCTACGAGACATCCCCTAGGTCCCGGAGTCTCCGGAATTCAATGTCGGACAGGCCAAGACGCGTGTTAGATACCACCAGCCTCTCGCCCAAATGTCGAACCATGAGCCCTCCAGACACTTCACAATTCTGCATTCTTGTCCGAATCCCTGCCCTACAGTGCCCCCTGACCCTCAAGGAAAGGTGCTTGCTCGGTCAATGCTGCGGCGCGGCAGGACCTCCTCAAGCCTAAGCCCTGAACACAAAACCCTAAGCCTGTTCTGAGCGCTTGGGGTCTTGGAGGTTCATGTTCACGGGCTTATTCGTAGGAAAGCCATCGTTATGTAGTGGCCTTATACTTTTACTTAGGGTTTAGGTTTTAGGGTTTTAGGGCTTAGGGTTCCTTGCACAGGCACACAACCCTACGTCGAACTAAGCAACCTCCAAGTATCCTAAGACTCGTAGTTCCCCCCCCCCCCTCCCCCACCCCCCCACCCTCCCCCCCCCCCCCCCCTCCCCCCCCCCCCTCCCCCCCCCCTCCCCCCCACCCCCCCCCCCCGCCCCCCCCCCCCCCCCTCCCCCCCCCCCCTCCCCCCCCCCCCCTCCGCCCCCCCCCCCCCCCCCTCCCCAAAAAAAAAAAAAAAAACTGAAACATCCCCGGAAGCGAGTGCCACACCTCAACTCGTGCCGCCTCAAAACGGGGAGGTCTGTGGCGACTCCTGGGCGCCAATCACCCCTTACCCTAGGGGAGCCCTAATCGGCGCCAGATCACACCTTAGAACCCTTGCAAAACCCCTAGGGGCTAAAGCCCCTAAGTCCCGAAACCCTAAACCCTAAGTCCCTAAAAACCTGAATCCCTAAACCCTACACCCCTAAGCCCTTTAAAGCCCTGTATGGTGAAAGGATCCTGCGTGCCCTGTTGGGGCTTCTTCCTCCTTGGCTGGCTCTTCACCCTGCTCTTCATGAATGAGGCCGCATCTTGCGTTTAGGGTTTAGGGTTTAGGGTTTACGGTTTGTATACCTGTTGAGAAAGGGTGTTTAGGGTTCGTGGAGACCGTGTTTAGGGGGATTTGGGCCGCCCAAAGGGCCTCCTGAACCTAGAGCTCTAGTCTATAGAGGTTCGACGGCTTGGCTTGTGTCATTTATTGGTTCTTCGTAGGCAGTAACCATAAAGGCGGCTTTATGGTACTTCTTATTGTAAGAACGAGTAAGCAACCTGACATAGGTTGAATCCGGGTTCATGTGGATACGAGCCCCGTGCGAAGACTAGCCGCGGCTGGTGACTAGTTTGCCTATGATGGCTCTTTAGGACGTCTTTCTGCTTCAGACCCGTTCAAGCATGAGGTCAAGGTCCTGCACAAATCCTCCAGGTTTAGCAGGATACGGTGTGCCTGGTGCGCATTGCCATCTGCAGATTTTCGCACGGGACGAGACGGTCATTGCCGCAATCAGTCGCCCTTGACTTTGCACAGAGCTGGAATCCTATAGTTCTCTGGGTTTGGGGTTTTGGTGAGCGGTGGTCATACTGTCTTGCGGGAAGCATGCCGGCGGCGAAGAGGGGTGTAAGAGACAGGGAGAGAGAGAGAGAGAGAGAGAGAGTAGTAGAAGAAGAAGAAGAAAAAGAAGAAGGAGATGGAGATGATGAAGATGATGAAGATGATGAAGATGAGGATGAAGAAGAAGAGAGAGTGCAAAGCTAGTATTGCCGACGTCGGAGACCTGCGCCGTGGTTCGTCCAGCTATGCGGGTGCCCTAAACCCTAAACCCTAAACCCTAAACCCTAAACTCTAAAACCCTAAACCTTCAAGTGGTTCGGACAGGTGGCCACGCAGGGCACCGACATCTTCTCCTTCGACGATCCTGCGGTGGAGACCAGCCTAAAGGCTTCCTGTCTTAGGGCTTGTAGGGTTTAGGGTTTTTTGGGTTTTGGGTTTACAGGGTTTAGGGTTTAGGTCTTGTAGGGTGTTGAAGCAGTCTCCAGGTTCAAGAAAGGGTTTAGGGTTTGGGGTTTAGGGTTTGGGGTTTAATGTTGACTTCACATTAGTGGATCCACCCGCAATTGTAAAATCCCGCTGCCGGAACACAATAGTGTAGCCCGCCACAATTGTAAAATCCGACCCGGGAAATCCGGTTTTTACGGGCGTGGTGCTACTACCTAATACTAAAGCTAATACTACGTCCTACCAGGATTTAGGCGAACAGTATTGAGGAGGCCCTGGCCGGAGAGATTGATCAATGAAGGGGGGGGGGGTTTATTAATGCGAAGTCAACATTAGGGTTTAGGGATGCACTCTGCTGCACTTCCTATGGTAGCTTTCAAAGAAGAACCCGGCTTTGGATCTTGCAGCGATACCATGTAGCCGTGACACGCTTCGTATTTGCTTCATGCGCAATCCGACCCTAAACCCTAAACCCCTGACCCTAAACCCTAAACCCTAAGCCCTAAACCCTAAACCCTAAACCCTGCGCCAGGTTCAGCAGTACTACGGCTTCCAGGCAGCCTTGGATGAGACCCCAGGTTGCCGAGACCAAGCTCACCAGGACCAGGCTCGCAGGAGAGGACTCCGAGTTTTGGGTCGTTTAGGGTTTAGAGTTCAGGGTTCAGGGTTTAGGGTTTAGGTTTAGGGTTTAGGGTTTAGGGTTTAGGGTTTAGGGTTTAGGGTTTAGGGTTTAGGGTTTAGGGTTTAGGGTTTAGGGTTTGGGTTTAAGGGTTTAGGAGATAGGGGTGAATAATCATATTTCGAACAAGTGTGTATTTCAAAGCAATTAAATACTGAAGTTACTGTTTAAGTATTCTTAAAATATTGCATTTGAACCTGACTTCCTTCTTTAAGACCATTATTCTCTACTATGTGCTTAAGAACACCCTTCCAAAAAAACACAAGAATAATAAAATAAATGCAACAGCTAACATAAACGGAATAACCCTTAGGTTACCCTTATAAGGAAGAGTCGTTTTAGGGAGGCTTTTGTCTGGGGGGGAGGGTTCTTAAGGAAATAGTAGTTGAGACGACAATTACTATGCATCCCTTGATGGCCGTACGTTTGAAGGCACAGCCTCTTGTGAAATCGGCTTTGTGCCTGAGAGCTGTGCGGGTTATTTTCGGGGTCTATGGCTTTCGTGTCGTGGAGAGCAGCTGAGGTTAGGAGGTTGTGTGTTGAGATAGGTTCCCTGCGTTTCTTGCCTCCCCTAAACCCTAAACCGTAAAGTCTTTGCTGAGGGCTCGCAAGACATTTTGCCGGTGCACCCTTGCAAGCCCCCCCCCCCCGCCCCCAGACCATCTCTGAGCTTTTGTGGGCTCCACCCAGACCATTTCTGAGCCTTTTTGGCTTTTTTCCAGACCATGGTGAGCCTTTTTCTCCTCCCAGACCATTTCTGGGCCTTTTTGGGCTTCTGCGGTACCCCTACGGTAACAATCTGTGAGACACACGCCAGACGACTTCCGTGACGGCAGACGCAGGATTCCAAACGCCCTCAAACAAGCATGTCCCGATTTTCATTGATGAAGGGCTACCCGCGCGACCTTCTCACAGCCTCGTGTTGGTCAAGGGACGGCAAAACATCAGGGCAGCGTTTGCTAGAACTTCACCTCTTTGCAGCCCTGCCCCCGTGAGGCTCAGATCGGGACGGTGCCGAAACAGCGTGCGCAGTGGTGCAGCATGCCCCCGCTGGAAAAAGCAAAACTAGACTTTAGGAACTAAACCCTAAAAATAAATATGCCGGGTGGCGTGGGGTGGGCTTACCGCGATGTTGCGAGCGACCCGGGCAGAGGGGCCGGCTAGCAAAATGAGGTGAGGCCCCGGAGCCCAGCGAGCAACCCAGAACGTAACACACCCTAAACCCTAAACCCTAAATCCTAAACCCTTAACCCTAAACCCTAAACCCTAAACCCTAAACCCTAAACCCTAAACCCTAAACCCTAAACCCTAAACCCTAAACCCTAAACCCTAAACCCTAAACCCTAAACCCAAACCCTAATTAAACCCTAAACCCTAAACCCTGCCGAAACTCAAGCCCTGGACAGGCCGTCTGCGAGGCGGACGAGGTGTGCGAGTGGGTTCAGCGTGGGCCCAGCGCACAGTGCCAGTCCCGGCGAGTGAGTGCGGGGGTTGCGGCCTGTTTAGTGCATATATATATATATATATGCATATATATGTCGAGGGTTGAGGGGTAGGGTTTAGGCTTTAGGCTTTAGGCTTCAGGCTTCAGGCTTCAGGCTTCAGGCTTTAGGCTTTAGGCTTTAGGCTTTAGGCTTTAGGCTTTAGGCTTTAGGCTTTAGGGTAATGTATATATATATATACATATACATATTCGTATAGGTATCTTTCAAAAGTTTGGAGGAAAGCACCACCTCGTCTCCAAAAGGCTGTAGGGCTGTGGGGGGCTTGCGGAGGATGGTAGACCCCAAATACACTCCCCCTTGACAAAACAAGGGTGTTTGGGGAAAAGGATCGGAGTTGACGCTCTCACAGGGTTCCGCTGCTGCCCAGGCTGGAGCTTCATGAGCCACACGCATCAAGGGGGCTTAGGGTTTAGGGTTTAGGGTTTAGGGTTTAGGGTTTAGGGAATCTCATGACAAGGTATAGGAAGCACACCTTCACCGACTTGAGCAGACTACATGTAGCCATCTAGATCCTATTCCATTCCGGCTTCCGGACCCTCGAAACCCTATAAACACAAGATAGGCCCCAGCCTGCACAAGTAAGTCTTACAGTAGCAGAGGTTGGCCGGGGGGACATTGGGGCCTCAGACTCTGTGGAATCCGAGCCCGTCTCCGGGCGCCATGCGGCGGCCATTTGCGCGCTGCCGCTGGTTGCGCTAAAGGCCCGAACCTGGCCGAACCCCAAACACAGATTTTGGTCAAGCTACCCACACTGAACTTAGTAGGGGACCTCCGAGAGTAGCATGCAAAGAAAAGCAGGCCTGGGGTTATCAAGGACAGAGCCAGACAGGGTTTGTTTCCATAGGTTGAGGGCTTGGTGATTGTGATGGAGTTTTGTAACTGGGCCCTAAGCCAAAATGTCCAAGGTACCTAGATTTGCATCGAAGCAAACAACACTGGAACCTGTTTCCCTGTTGTCTGGCCGGCTTTCAGCTCGCAAGAAGCGTGTGGACAGATGCCTGTGCGCAAGGCGTACGCCTTCGTCATTGCCTAGGCCCTACATATGAACCCTAAGCCTCAAGACCAGGCAGCAAGCCGTGAGAGGCTGAAGTTGTGGATGCATTCAATTCTCATCAGGTTCTGATTGTCATCATGGCATCTATGCGCCAGCTGTTTCTTCCTACCAGCAAGAGCTACCGCGGGAACAACGTGCTCTGTGACTGTGCTGTAGGCACTGGCTACGGAGCACTTTGAGTTGCTCAGTCAGGACCCGGTGCCTCGCTTCTACTATAGCGTGCAGCTGGAAAGGAGCCGGGGGCCCAGTGTGTGAATTCGAAGAAGCTCTGTGCATGGAGTTGATGGGACCAAGAAGGCGGCACATGGTGCAGGCTACATCTATGTGGCCGCTGTGCCGGTAGGCTCAAGAGAGTGGGTTAAAACGCTAGTGCTTGCAAAGAGGCCTCCCTACAGCCCAGAAAATCCGAAGGTATCCGAGCCCCAAGCCCTAAACACTCTACCTTTCAGCCTCCCTAAAACCCAAAAACGCCCTCAACTTTGGAACGAGCCTTGGGGACCAAACTGAACCCTAAAAGGCTACTAAAGGGGTTTATGGTTCATATTACCTCGGCTTCAATAGGACCAATTGTTGGGTTCGTTTGGCTTCTAAGGAGTGAAAACTTAGCCCAAAGCGCCAGTGGGGGTGTTCGAGGCTGCGCGCCGGGTGGCACATCGGGGAGTGGATGGAGTCTGGCCGCTTGTGCTGAACCGGCTTCCCAACTTTGAGGGCGCAGGTTTAGGCCTGTCTGCCATGCCTTCTCACCCGGACGAGTCGACACGAGGCATGACATGATCATTCATGTTTCAAAACAACGGGGCTCTCATGAGCTGATCAGCACCGGAGCTGTATGGTAGGAAAGGCTGTTGACTACTCAGCATCAAGTCATGCAAGAGCACCTGAACCGGCTGGGGGAAGCGGATGCCAGGTTTAGGGTTTAGGGTTTAGGGCTTCAGCATCTTCAGGGAATTGTGAACCGGAATCATTAGCACTGCATGTCCACGGAATCATTAGCACTGCATGTCCACGAGCTCCCTTCGAACTCGGCCAACCCCAGAACCCCTAACCCATAAACCCAAAACGGGACCCTAAACCCTAAACCCTAAACCCTAAACCCTAAACCCTAAACCTAAACCCTAAACCCTAAACCCTAAACCCTAAACCCTAAACCCTAAACCCTAAACCCTAAACCCTACACCACTGAACCCTAAGCCCTACAGTCCCCAACAAAACCCTCAACTTGCCGAGGGCCTTGGCCGGCCCCCGAAGACCTCTGGCCAGAGCCAAAGCGCTGGGAAACTGCACCTCGGCACGGTCACGGTCACCGCAGCTCCCTAATCTTTGTGGTACTTTACTGTAACTTTAGATCCTTACCCTTTTTGGGTTAATTGGGTTTCTTGATAAGGCAGCTAAAAGTTTAATTTTTAGCTACCCTCCTGAGCGCAGCCAAGTAATGTAGGTCGGAAGAATTACTCGTAGTATTCCCTTATGGTCCCTTTATAAGTATGCTATAAGAATCTCCCAAAACCCTATTCTAACTACTCAGGCCCCTACATGACATCAACTTGGGGTCGCTGGTGGGATTTTGAGGTTTAGGGGCTTGATTCCAGGGTTTTAAGGCAGGATCCGGGGACATGGGCTGAATAGGGTTTAGGGTTTAGGTTTAAGGTTTAGGGTTTAGGGTTTAGGGCAAGTCCGTCTTGGGGGGGGGGGGGGGGGGACGGAGTAAACATCCCAGTTCAAGTATCTGGGCCTCGATTCCCAGTTCGCTCCCCGAGGTGTGTCAAGGTTCAAGTGGATTGAGGGTTTAGGGTCTCACCCGAAGATGAAGCCTGGGTAAGTCGCACATTCCACTGAGTGTGCCTTTGTTACTTAGGACTAGGACCATTAGACATAGTTCATCACTTCTCAGTGGGAAGACTATACTCCTAATCAGGTTTGACACCCCAAACCCCAAACCCCAAACCCCAAACCCCAAACCCCAAACCCCAAACCCTAAACCCTGCCCTTTGCCAATTGGCAAGATCGTCGTAGCTCCTCTGTTGGTGTTTTTGGTTGCCTTCGAAATGCGAACTACCACCCCATCCTCCTGCCCTCGCACCCCCCCCCCCCCAAATAGAAGCTTACCCTACACACTTAAGCCTAAACCCTAAACCCTAGACCCTAAACCCTGTCCAAACCCAACCTACCCAAGGTCTACAAGTCTCGGCCACTGAGCCCCCGGAGCTTCTGGACCGTTCAGAAGTTGTTTGGGGTTCGGATTTAGGCTTTCAGGGTTAGGGGAACCCCCCCGAAATCGGACCCCAGCACTCCTCCCTTCTGCGAGTTCTATGCCCTACGCATAAGGGCCACGGAAGTTGCAGTGTTGCAGCAGTCAAGGCTTAGTTGTGCTGGAAGACTTCGCATGGGCGTGCAAGGCGGGGCGACTCCCAAAACCCTCAACCCTAAACCCCTTCAAAAAAACCCGAAACCCTGAACCCTAAACCCTAAACCCTAATCATCAATTATCCCTAAACCCTAGACCCTCAACCCTAAACCATAGACCCAAACCCTAAACCCTTAAGACCCTGGCATCCGCGTGGCCTCGTTAAACCGTCTCCCCTGAAAGCTTTAGCCCTTATCTCAACGCCAGGTCCCCCGCCTAAACCCTAAACCTCAAAGCCCTAAACCTCCAAACCCTAAACCTCTAAACTCCAAAACCCTAAACCTCGCTTAGGGTGCTTGTGCCAGTGCGAGGGTGGGACCGTCGTTTAGGGTTTAATGATGGGCGAGTTGGCTGGTGGGGTGTTTTGGGTTGAGGGTTTTTGGGGAAGAGGGCCGAAGCGGGATGTTTAGCGGATTTGGGGGGTTAAAAAATATCATGAACTGGGATTGCGCGGAGAAATCCTGAGACCCGGGCATCATTCTAATCAACCCCTTCCTTTCTTTCTAAATGCCTCCTTTCGCACGAGATATGAGCTAGCGGATTACGCGCATTCCTCAGAGAGGACGCCGGCCTTTACCAGCCTGCCTGGGATGCGCCCAGCAACGTCGACGATTGCCAACAGGATCCTATGCGGCGCTGTCGGTTTTTTTGGGGGTTTGGGGGGAGGGGATGTGAGCCTCGACCTTGAGGCAAGACACCTCGTCTGAGCCTTGCAGAAACACTCGGTGCTGCAAGCCTGATGAGCGTAGGCAAGCAGCAACCTCCCCCAAAATACCTTTCGAACTTCTAAACCTTACGGGACCCCCACACACCCGACATGTATACATGTAAATACAAATATCCAATATATATATATATATATATATATATATATATGCACACACTATATACATATTATGTTTATTATCATTCCCGCATTCCTCAACACTCACTCAAAACCCGAAGCCCTATGCAGCGCTAGATGCTGGTAAAGCAGAACCATTTGACTACAGCAGATGTGGCACTTGCGCTGGACTCCCTAACGATGAGACACAAAGCATCCTTCTTTTGTCCCAATCATCCCGAAACGCGAAACCTTCAACCCTTTTGAACCCCTATCAACCCCTATAAACCCTGTAAACCCTAAACCACTATAAACCACTCTATGAAGTAACCCTGACCCTTCAACCCTATAAACCCCTATATATCCCCTACAGACCCCGACACACCGCTCCCCGCTAGGAGCCCGAGCGGCTGAGCGAGCCGGAGCCGCAACCAGGGATTGCCGAGGCAGAAGCACCGAGGCTGCCAAGGCCTCCGAGTTTGGGGTTTAGGGTTTGGGGTTTGGGGTTTGGGGTTTACGGGAATAGGGTTTTAGGGTTTTGGGGTTTTGGGGTTTAGGGTTTATAGCTTTTGGGCAGGCTTCACAGGTTTCAGTGCTTAGGGCTTACGAGGCCTGGATGCAAAAAAGGGCTTATGAGGGCTTATAAAGATTCTGGGGCTTGCGGGCTTTAAGGCTT